AATTATTTTATTTCTATTTTAATAATTTTCTAACATTTTATTTTGGACATAAATGCTTATTGACATTAATTTAATTGTATTTAAATTCATTTTATTTCAAAACAAAAAATTAAGTCAAACTTAAGATTGTTCTTCTTCTCTTTCTCTTTTTCTGTCTCTTTCTCTTTTTCTTTCTCTTTTGCTTTCGCTTTCGCTTTCTCTTTTTCTTTCTCTTCTTTTGCTCTCTAGAGTATTTTAAAGTCGATCAACTGAAATTAATTGCAGCCGCAACAACATTTTCCATGCCTTTTTTATAGTATGTACTTTTATGCGTATACGAATTGACTTGAGATACATTTTTATGGAAGCGTACGTCTGTTTGCATGTGTGGGTGTGTGTAGACATTAGTTTGTATAGTACATTAGCGTAAATTGTTGTTGTTGCTGCTGCTGCTGCTGTTGTTGACGTGCGATGCCAACTCGGGCATTTGCCATTAGTCAGCTGGGTCAACTTGATGAACTTTGATCGTTGATTGATCGCCGAATGCACTCGAAAAGCAGTCAGCAACAACAACAACAACAACAAAACAGCAATCATTATAACATTAACAACAACAACAATAATAAACAGAAAGCAAATTGCATTTGCTGTTGATTGGATGCTGGTCCAGTTCGACAAATGCCTGAACACCTCGAAACGAGAATATTGATTTTAATTACTCAGTCTGTGTATATTTTGTCGCATTCAGCGTTGCGTGAAGCAGATGTTCTACTTAGCGAGGGTTTGAGAGAGAGAGAGAGAGAGAGAGAGCTTCCTACTAAAAATCAATCAACAGGCCACAAATGAGTGCGTTTGCCTTCTGGGTCACAATGCAGTCTCCTACTGCGTCTGCTGCTCCATCTCCTGTTCCTTGCCCATGTCTCGTCCGCCTCCATCGCTGGCTTCCGTTCTTCGAGTAGCTGCTGCTGCTGCTCGTACTTTGAAATCCGAAACGCCTCGTATAGTTTTTGGACACACCGTGTTGCGCGCAACATGGGGGCAACTGTCTGGGCTGCAGCACTCGGCAATTGTTTTAGATTTTGTTTTAATGGTTTTGCCAATAAATAAAATCATTCATAGAATTCATAAATAATTGCCATTAATAATTTACATGGCCGCAACTCAATAAAAAAAATATATAAAATCTTTATTGGACTGCAGCATAGTTCGTCTTCACATGATATAGAGCACTCGGCTCAATAAGACTTTGTAGTGCTTTTCAAATAAATAAAATATATGCGAATATTACAAATATTTAAAGTTATAAATGTTGCCCATAAAAATAAAATCAATAAAATCATATCTCATCTGGCCTATGACGATCATAAAAATCATTCAAATTGCGAATCCTTGAAGTACATAAATAATATAAAGAAATGAGGTTCTGTGTGGCTTGTTATTAAAACATTATTAATTATTTATTAATTAATTCTTATGTATTTTTTAAGCTTATTTTATTGTATAAATATATATAGAATGGGTTCAGCTACAGCAAATCAAATGATTAACAGTACGCAGTAAGGATTCAATTGTTAAGCTTTAGCTTACTTAGATCTTATTTAAATTAAATAAATTAATTATTTAAAATAATATATTTCCACATCTAAATCTTTCTCTCCCTCTCTCTCTTTATAGATCAAGCAGCAATATATGGTGCTTAATGCAATTCCAGAGAAAAATATGGAGTTTGGCAGGCAACAAAAAAAGAAGACAAATAATCATAATTTATCCGCCCTTTGGTCGGCAGTTGTAAACTGCCTCAATCGGAATGAGAAAAAAGAGGCAGCTCGACACATACTCTCGACACGGCTGAAAGTCGAGGCACCATTAGGCGGCGCCTGCTTCAAGTTAGGCAGCGCCTCATGAAAGGACACAAGCACAACACGCAGTCAGCGCCTACTCCCACGCGCATTGTTTTCATTTAATTTACGTGCCGAGTCGAGTCGAGTCGAGTCCAATCCAGACGAGCTGCTGTCACATATGTTGGGAAAAACTGTGTTTGGCAAACGACATGAGGTCCTTGGGCCAGAGCCTTGCTGTGATTCGCAGCGCATAGCACATGCCATCGATTGCCATGTGCGCACATCGCACAACAATCGTCCCTAACAGCCATGTGAATTTTTGGCATGCGAAAACAATAGGAAAACTATAATGGACCGAGAGCAAATAGAAAATGGCGTGGCAAGGATCCCATATGCATGTGCATCAGTGCCTTAGCTGCTCGTTTCTAAATTTAGTTACTCGATTTATGCGCTCGTTATTTGAGATGATCTCAATTGCTTTTTAGCAGCCCAAAAACCAAACATCGGCTTTGGGGGCGTTGACACTTCGGCTTTGGAGTACTCTGCATTCCCGCATCAAGGTGGTTTCCATCGCTGCTTGAAACGGCGTTCGGCGTTCGAGTATTCACATACATATATATATATATATATATCATAATATTCATGAACCAGAAACGTGTTTCGAGGAAACTCTAGCTCTCAATTGCGTTGAGTGGAACTAAAAATGTTTTCTTACGCTGAAGTAAAAAAAAAAACAAAAGGGTTTTTGGTATCCAATGTCAAAAAAAATATTATTTACTTCATAGACTTTTAGCGGATATCATGTTAAAATTAAGTCACACGGCATTATAATAGTAAAGGTATTGAAATTAGATTAAACATAATATTTTTATTTATATTTGATATATCCAAAAACGTCATTGAATAATATAGAATTAAAAATTTTCGTAATTATTATTTTGCTTTCTTTGCTATTTATTCCATTATTTTTTCTTAAATGGGGCGGGATATGTTATTCTTTTCAGCTTTATTAATTTTTATAATTACTTTGCTTATTCTTTCCATTCTATGGACCTATGAACTTTTATTTGTAATTTATGTTGTGATTAGATGATAGCTTATGGGAGGTATAATGAATATTAAATCATCTTGTTCGCAGTACTAGTTTCGCCTTTATTGGATCGCGGTCAGCCTAGTCTTTAGCTTAGTGGCTTGACTCAAGCTAGATGTTTAGAGTATTTAAAATGCATTTGAGATTGAGTATCATAAGCTTGAGAATGGATCTAAGCGCATTCTGTTATTATTCATTAACGAGTGCAGTAGCATAATGGATTTGTGCAATGTGCGAGTCCTATGTCCTAATGTCCTATCCGTATGAGTGCGAACCCTTTGAAATTTGGTGTATCTACTAGAGGGTTAAGATTTGCGTAGAGAATCAGGAACTACCAGGTATCTATTAAGTCTAAAGCGGTATTAGTTAGGGACTTGAAATCTAAGATATAGATACAGCGATATAAGCCAAAAACTGTGTATATTTGAAGAAACTGAAAAACTTGATTATTGAGTGACTTTTTACCTGCACTGTAGACCCTTTGGGGGCGTGTCATATCGGAAATATCCCATAATTGCCACATGTTTGGAGCCTTACAACCAAAATTGAAGTTACGTACATGAAGAGTATTTCTAAGAAGTGCCTAAAAATTATAGGTCCACGTTTAGCGAGGGCTTGTCAAATCAGGCAATCTGTATATTCTACAGTTTTACCGTTAGAAAATCAAAATTAAACGAATAAGTTACTGTTAACCTTCCTGATTGAGTTAGCAAAAATTATATTTATAAGTGTGGCAATTAGAAAACACATATATTTAAAAGGCCTTGAAGCTGGGAGCGCAACATGCTCAAATAGTTTCTTAACTCCTTCAAAATCTTGATTTTTCTCCGTGCTTTGCCGGCAAATACCACACAGACGCAGCGGCCAATTAGTTAACTCAACTAAACTGGCAATAATCAAAGTTTCTAAGCAAAACATTTGATTCATTATGATTTATAAATATATAAGATATAATAAATTCCCCTCATCGCAATCCGTGGTCTAGCCGAAATAGCGCGGGTCCTACACAACAGACATCACCTTGAAAAATACTCTTTCAATCTCTCCCACTCTAGCAGCTCCTTTGCTAGCACCTACAGAGATAGGGATCGAGTGGGCGACCTCTGTCTGTCTCGCTTCCTCTGGCACTCTCTGTGGCATTCAGGCAGACGATTTAGCTGCACTTATTCAAAGACTCGCAAGTATCTCTATATATATTTTAAAGATCTAGCCTACTTACGAGTCGCTGGGGTCTGTGTGTCCATGTGTCCGTGTGTGTGCGTGTGTGCGTGTGTGCGTAGCTACAACAACCTGTCAACGTGGCTGACTGGATATTTAGCTCGCTATATATGGGCAAGGGAAGAGCGTATGGTAGTTTGTATATAACTCAAAACACTCATGCCAGGCTGTCATTTAAAAAGCAATTAAGCGTAGCAACTAAAAGTGATATTTGGTTCGCCTTTGAAGCGCTCCACACAGACTAAATCAACTGACTGAGCTAATTATGTGCATTTTAAATAGTCATTTTTGGCGACATAAATACTTTTGTGTATACATTGTAAACAGTTTTTATGCGCAGCCCGACGCAACTCCAAACAAACTGAAAAAAAAAAAAATGAAAATGAAAATGAAAATAAAAATAAAAATAAAAATGAGTATTAACAAATGAACATAAATCACCGGATGTGGATGGTGTTCCCATTGCCAAGCCCTCGGCTGACGTCGTCTCCGGTTGCCATTTTCTTCTTTAACGAAATTTCGCTGCAAACGCTCGATTCCCATGAGCGAGAGAGAGCGAGAGGGAGAGTGAGACAGTGAGAGAGTGGAACAGATACTTGACTGTGTATCTTTGAGATACATAAATGTGGCTGCCTCGTCCGTGGCGTGACGTTACGCTCTAAGTATGTCGTCGTCGCCGTTGTCGATCGCATATATGAGAACTTATGTTCAGATATTGCACTATAAAGTCGGACCCCCCGAACGGCGACATTTTCGCGCCTAATTTCATGGGGGAAAAATACTCGGCAACAACAACAACGACAACAACAACAGCAGCGACGCCGACAACCGCAAGAAAGTAAACAAAATGGCGACGTTTTTTATGTGTTTTGTTTCTTTTTAATGATGTTTTCTTTTAATTTATACAATTTAAATTAGTTAGCGCTAGACATACAATTAAACCTTAGCAATAGTTGGCTCCTATATTTCGTAAATTTCTCTTCTGTTCACTTGTTTATTTAAATTAGATTTAGCTTAGTCATCTATAAGATATGGAAAGAGCTGCAAGTGCTCGCTGGCACTCGCATTGGAATTATTCACGCTGTGTGCATTATTGTTCAGTAACTGGAAGCCCCAATGGCAATCGACACTACCCACTCCTGCGCATCCTCCTCTACTGCCTGCTCCATCACCTGCGTCTGGTCTGGCTAGACCTTTTGATGCTGCGCATCGCCCTCCATGCGCCAGACACCAAATAAATAGCTTAGTTTCTCGGGCGGAATAATCGGCGCTCCGTTCGCCTTGCGCAAACACTTGAGATCAGCCTCGGCTCCATTGGCGGAACTTAGCAGTGTGCTGGCATTGCCATAGCCAGGCGATACCGGCGACGACTGCGCCTCCAGCGCCTTCAGCAGCGAGATGTCGCTCGAGCTGAGCATGCGGCATAGGAAGTCAATATATCTGCAATCAGAAGAGGTGTAAAGACGTCGATAAGAAATTGAACATCTCATAAAAGATCCCGAATAAGTTTACGTATTTAAGAAAACCAAACGCAATTTATAGACTAATTTAAAAACTGAAATATTCTAAACAATTTCCCGAAAATATTTTCAACATAAAAATATATAAAAAAATTTAAAAAATTATTGAAAATTCCTTTTGCCTTAATTTAGTTTAACATTTTTAACAAATAATTGTGCTTGAGTTTAAAATATTTCAGATATTTTTGTAGTTTTCTTTTCATTCGCTTTTACGCCTATTTGAAATATTCGCAGTTTACTGGAATTTTTGAAATTGCGTAAAGTTTCCACCTCAGGTAGCAACTACGGAGCTGGGTTAAGCCCAGGCCGGAAATGCCCGGCAGAAACGAGTGCGGACTTACCTTGTGGCCAGCTTGAGCGTCTGTATTTTGCTCAGCTTGTCGCTCGGCAATGTGGGTATGATCTGCTGCAGGGCCTTGAAGGCGTCGTTGAGACTCTGCGTGCGCTGGCGCTCCCGCACATTGGCCATGACTCGCTGGTTGCTGAACTCATCCGTCTCCTCCGTCTTGCTGGGCTTGCGTTTAAGGCGGCGGCGCGGCTTGCGAAACGCCTTGCCCGTCACATCGCCAGCATCCAGCAGGCTGCTCTCGTCGCCCAGGCATGTGGGCGACATGTCCCCCAGCTCATCCTCCTTAGCGTAGCCACCCACTGAGCTGAGCACTGTTTGGCGGGCATATTCCATATCGTCGCGATCTGAGCTGGAGTAGGCGCTGCCATTCAGACTGTTGGCAGGCTCATAGGCGTCATAATTTTGACTAAAGAACACAAATATAGAAAGTAAAAGAAGTTTAAAAATACATTTTAAATAAATAGTTATTCGAAACTTTGTTAATTTTTACTTTGTTAGCCTTTAGAGAACCGCAAAATATCCTTTTATATATTTTATATATTTTATATATAAATATTTTATTTTTCTGATAGAAGAATTCAAAAGCTAAAGCCAAAGTATCTGCCATATTTCGAGCACTGAATTCGCTTAGGTTTCTTGAATTTGAAATTTCTGTAAATTATCTAAAATATTTCAAAGTATTTCAAAATTTAAATGCTGATCTCAAAGCAGTTTCTACTACCCTAAACTTTTGTAGGGTTTATGGATATATCTATAGAATATAGAATTTCTTAACTTTTTGCTATGATTGATTGGAGTTAGACTCCATACAATATTCAACAGCAATTCACATTTTTTTGTGTTCTAGGAATAGTAAAAAACATTTTTCAAAATGGGTTCAATTCGAAAGGCTTTTCGAATGGGCTTTACTAAAGCCAAAATGGTTTTTATAAAATATTATCAGTAGAGATATTATAAATATTTTTTGTATATTTTCTCTTGTATTTGATCGATCATGGCTTGATACGTCATGAAGCTTCTTCAATCAAGAGCATTTTGTAGAGAATTGAGATATAGTAAATCGTATGATATTCACTTTTTAAAGGAATATAAAAATGATTTAGATTTTGGTGCATTTCAAGCTATGACCTGTAGTGCCTATATCTATATAATTTTTATCAAGTTGACTATATATTTTGATGTGAAAAGTTGGCTAACTGCTGTAATGGATTCGTAGCGCAGTAAACCAAAAATTGGCTGTCAATGATTATGGCCAGAATGAAGATTCTCCTGGATATACATATTTATAGGGCTACTTACCCTGCTCTGTAGTTGCTCTGGAAATGAAGTTGTTGTTGCTGCTGTTGCTGATGCTGTTGTTGCTGCTGTTGCTGCTGCTGTTGCTGCTGCTGCTGCTGATTGATTGTTTGCGGATATCCGCCATATTTGAAGATGTGCGGCTTGTGATCCTGCAGCTCCTCCTCGGCGGCAAAATCGAAATGCGAGTGGGAATGAGAGTGGGGCGAGACACAGGCGTTCTGTTGGCTGGGCGCCTGCGCCTGTATCTGGGTCTGCGTCTGCGTCTGAGCTGCGGCCACCTCGTCCACAGTGGTGGGCAAATAGTCCACATACAGTTGTTGCTGCTGCTGCTGCTGCTGCTGGTGTTGTGGCTGTTGATGTTGATGTTGCAGTTGCTGTTGCAGCTGCTTCTTGTGCTCGGGCTGCATGGATAGCGCCTCCGTTTGGCAGTCGTAGTCGCTGCTGCTGCGCGATCGCTTGCCATGCTCATTGAGCAAATAGCCAAGAGGAGATGGAGCTACCACGCCCGTTGCTGACGTCTGTTGCTGTTTGTCAAAGTTGTTTTGGTTGTTGTTCAGCTCCAGGCTGCTTTGAGCGCTCTGATTGCTGCTGGTACTGAGCACCTCGTTGCTAGGTATATTGTAATCCGTATCCTCGAGCTCTGTTATGCCATAGGCAGCATAGTCCGCCGCATTGGGCGCCAGCGAAGGCAATGGAGCATATTGCTGTTGCTGCGGCTGCGACTGTTGTTGTTGGTGTTGGTGATGCAAGTAGTGGGTGTTCGGTTGGTCCATTAGCTGCATGTAGGCGTGCTGCTCCACCTGAATGAGCTTGATGACATTGTGTTGCAGCTCCATGATGTTGGGCAGTGTTGGCTTGTAGCTTATGTCCAGCAGCACCTTTGGCGACACCGAGCGTGCGCTCATTGTTTGGTTGGCAATTTTGAAACAAATTAACTTGCCCTTTGCACTCAAAAATATTTATATATATTCAAGTATATATATTTTTTGCACTATTCGTATTTATTGTTAAGTTGTCTGATTAACGCCTCGCGATCTATTGACGTAGCTTGTGTGTGCGCGCAGCGGCAAAGACGAAACGCAACTGACGCACGATCCTGCCGGCCATTGCTCAGATCGATGTTTTGCGCTTTGCTCATTCGCTATTCGCTGCTCGCTCTTCTCGCTGCGCATTGCACCAGTTGTCTCGCTCTAGCACATGCAGCGGCCGCTTGGCACGAGTTCGAGCCTATGGCGGCTGCTGCGCAGGTATGACGTCAGCTCAATTCGCCTTCGTTTGCATTTCGCTTTTGGATTTTCTCAATTGCGGCGGCTGCAATTCCGCACTTTGGGTTTTGTCAACCAACTGCAGAGAGCGAGTCACCAAAATAGAGAGCGAAAGGGAGAGACAAGGAGCAAGAGTGATGGAGAGAGCACATTGGATTTTTGAGGGCTTGGGTTTATTTTCTTTTGTGAATTCTACGTAAGCATAAAGCAACTAAGAAGCATAGGAGAATAAGCGAAAGGGATGTAATGATATATTAAATAAAAATATTATTTATATTATATTAAATTTATAATTTATTCAACTTTGAGTACAATAAAAAGCTCTCATTGGATTATAAAAATATATTAGAAATTTAGTGTTTATAAATTTGTATTTATATTAAAAATTATACAAATAATTTGCATCTTATATACGGAATAAGACACAATTATGATAGTTTATACTTAATTTATAATATTCAAATAGAATTTATTGAATTTTAAACTTTCAATTTTTTAATTACAAAATTGAATTTTATTTGATTAAAATGTTTAATAACAATATTAAATCTTTTGTTTATTATTTTTCTTTATGATCATTTATTTTGCATGAAAGATTCTAGAGTTAGAGTCTAAATCTCAACCCTACATGTAATTTCGAAATAAGGAAAATCCACGGAATCTTTTCATTATGCGTAATTAGTAAATTCCCATGCACACACACATATATACATATATTTATATAGGTACAAACTTACATGTATCGAAGTCTCATCTAGAAAAACAGAAAAGAGCCTAAAATACGAGCGAAAGTCAAATTTCCGGATATAATTATCCGCCTGCCTGCAAGCCAAAAATACCCGATTAATGTGACGCACGCACTTCCGCTGGAAAGTACGGCTGTAAAGGGACGCCGGATTCGCGTCCTTTGAGTACTTACCTAACCCGCGGACGAGGCCGAGAAAAACCACGCCAAGGGTTTTTTGTCTTCACTTTGTGCACGGCAACCTTACCTGGTTGGTGGGCCAATAAAACATACATTTTGTATTATGCATTTTCTATTTAGAAATTATTCAATTAATTGTAAATTTACACTTCTATCCTCAGACACTGCTAGCAAAAGGGAAGAGCACACTTTTAAGCAGATAGATTTAAAAGCTTACCTTTGGTTGTTGTCTTCGCTAAGATCTTAATTGTGCGAAAGAGAGATCAGATGTGCGGACATAACCATAATGAGTTTATGGCAGCGCTTGAAAGTATACATCAGTTTTCTATCAAACTGGCAAATTTATAGCACATCATTTGCTTTGTTTTTGCTGTTTTTACTGTGTTTGCTTTTGATTTCCCTTTTTTGCTTTAGGTGATTTGCTGTTTTTTACGCATTGGCCACGCTTAAGTCACGTAGTATATTGATTTCAATTGCGTTTATGTTGATTTCGATGAGCATAAGAAAAAAGCACATGCTATGGAAAAAACGTAACGTCTGCGTGTTTTTCTTATTTTCTTATAAGAAATGCGCGCTCTAAGCTATTCGTTTTGCGTGAAAAAAGGCAGCCGCTTTCCATTTTGACAATTCCAATCCTAATCCTGTCATCTCAGTTCATGTGTGTGCGTGTGTGTGTGTGTGCGAGCGTGAGAAGCAACTTTTGGTGCACGTAAATCTCGCTCGACAATCAATTAAAATTAAAATATTTTTTTGTGTCTCGTATTGCGGCATGTCAGGCGAAAAGGAAAAACAATAACAACAGCAGTAGCTGCCACAACAACAATAACAACAAAAACAATGTTGTCTACATATTTGAATTGACTTTTGATGATGTATCACGATTTATTGTTACCAAAAATGGTTGTCAAAGCGCGTGGAAAAGTGGATCAGCCGCGTCTAACGGTGCAAAGCACGGCAGGAGGCGAGCGGCGAGCGACGAGCGAAAGAGGGAAAAAAACTCCCACAGCTAAATCGCGAGCTGCCGAAATGCCTTTTGTCTTATGTGCTTTAGACAGTGCGCCTATTCGCTCCGCTCGCCAATTCGCCTCGTTTGCGTTTTGCGTGGCGCAGATGCAGCGTAAGATTAACGAAACAAAAACAAGCACAAAGCATAACAAGGCTGATGGACGTGGAAGCATCTAAAAAGCTGTCACACATACACTCAGTGGAGCTTTATGTGCTGTTATATTAATTGCTTTTGGGCAAACGCCGACAACCAATGAGAAACGCTGGCGCCAACACCTACGCCAAACTTGTCGCGCGTCTGTGTTTGGCTATGCATGTTAATTAACAATACACAAGCAGTCACACACGCACACACACACACACACAGACTTCCACTCACACACACATGTGAGACAATGTAAACAGTTGGCCACCCAATAATAAGCGCGCCAACTTGTCATTTAGCCTAGCTCCACCTTAACAAAACAAACAAACTGGCGCACACACACACGCATACACACACACACGCGCGCGACTATTCACGAATACAGACAGCAACATACAGGTATGCTGAACTGCTCCAACGCAACATGTTGGCTGCGGCTAGTTTCATTCCAGCAGCGAACGTGGCGCTAGTCGGTCGTGTGTCGCGCTTCGTTTATCGTCGTCAAAAGCTTCGCGTTCAGTTAAACGGTACCATACGAACTCCTTTTGGCTGCGCGTCGACCGTTATAAGCGTGCGCGTTGCCTGTGTTTCAGTTTCAGTTTCAGTTTCAATACGTCTCACTGTTCCGTTTGCCGTTTGTGTTTTATGGGCAGCCGGCATTTAATGCAGTTGTTATTTTTGCTCTTGTTTTTTTGCATTTGCTGCGCGTGCGTGCGTGCGTGCGTTCGTGCGTGCGCTTGATTTAAATGGCGTTTTAAGTGAAATTAAAATGACGGATGTGCTGTAATTTGCACACACATACAGCGAACACACACATGCCTATAGATACATATGTACGTACAGGCGAGTGTCAATAAATTTTAAACACGCGGCAGCCCGTGGGGCGTAGCATGTGCCTAGCCTTTTGATTACAACTACACTGCGCGTGATTACAACGCCCCAGCAGCAGCAGCAGCAGCAGCCACAGCAACTACGGCAGCAGCAGCAGTCGTTGATCGAATTAAGTGTGCATCGTGTGTGTGTGTGCGTTTGCTTTGCTGATTGCTGTTTGTTGCGCCCGCGGCTGCGTGTCCGGCAATTTAACGGATATGCAGGAAAATGTGTAACACCCCCGCCCAGGAAGCCGGCTGCAATAAGTGCTAATAAGTGAAGCGGACCGGATGTATTTATGAATTTTGTGCGTTTGACGCCCAAGCGTCAGCTCGCACAATAAGCGCGGGACAGTGGAACAGCGGAATAATTGTGGAACAGAAACACACACACACAATACGGTCATGCGCTGCCGCCTCAATAAATATTTGCCTACGGCTAGCTAAACAATTCTCTCACTCGCTCGCTCGCTCATTCACATACCGCCAACCAGCTCGATCGCACGCGTCACGCACTGCAAAGCTTTTCGCTTCGTCTGCAAGTTGTTTTTGCACAATGCGGCGGGCAACATCGGTGCCTTCGCCGTCGCTGTCGTCGTCGCCGTCGCCGTCGCCTTCGCCGTTCCCGTTGCCGTTGCCGCTGTCGCCGCGTTGGCTGCGTCGCCGACGCTAAAGCGCTCTCAAAGAGGAACAACAAATTTTAAAAATTTCAAATAGCAATTGCAACTACCGCCCGCTTGGTGCGTTGCACTCTGCCAGTGCCTCTGATTCTGCCCCCGCCTCTGTTTTGTGTTGTGTTATTATTGTTGTGTTTGTTGTCATTGATTTGGCGGGTAGCATGCAGCAGTGGCAAACGGTAACAGCTGCTGCGACAATAGAGACTAACTACAATAGTTGCAGCGATTATTTCAAGCACCATCGTCGTCGTCGTCGTTGCAGTTGCAGTTGCAGTTGGAGTTCCGCAACGTGGCCAGAACGTTGCCGGGCAATTATTATTTTGTAAGACGTTTTACAATTTAATGGTTTTCATGGTAAGCACCACTCAAGTCACTAGGCCAGAGCACCAAAACGCCAACGCCAACGCCATATGCCATGTGCCCCCGTTCTTGTCTTCCTTTCATGTGCCCTCCTGCCTATGCCCTGCCCCAATCCCAGTCAAGTTTTCTTCTCTCTCCCTCTCTCTTGTTTGCTCTGCCCTTTTTGGACAGCAGACGTCCCTGAGTGCCTGAGTGACACCTTTGTAGCAATAGTCGTGGCTTAATTAGGCTACACATACACACATACACACATACACACATACACACACACCTTTTGGCTTTATTATACCCTGTTTTATTTTGGTATCTTCCTTTTTGCTTTCAGAATGGACTGGGATCCGACCCTCTGTCAGCAAAGGAGGTGAGTTTCAGCATTAGAGTGAACCTTTACCTATTCTTAAATTTGTTTCATGTTTTCTTTGGATATCTGGCGTACAATCAAAATGCAAATGGTTAAGATTAACAGACTAGCAAAAATATGAAATTGTCTTAAATCACAAAGAGTTAGCAAATTTGTATATCAGAGTCGGGGTTGGCTTAGATATGATTTGATATTACGGTTTGATCTGCAGTTCTCTAACCAAGTAATATTTCCATAATTTCTCAATGATTGTAATGAAAAATGTTGTCAAACTGAAAGAATAATAACTAAAATAAAAGACTTCAAGGTTCGCCTCTGAGATTTATTAAGACTTTTCATTTTAAATGCAGTCCAATAATAGAAAAGTAAACATGAGAGTAGATATATCTTAAAATTAAAGCTGTCAAATTACTGAAACAAGAAGAAATACCTTAGAGATTCTATATAATAGATTATTTGAGAATATATCTGATGACAGCGTTGCTTCGCCCCGAAATCCGTTTTGCCATTTAGCTAATTCGAATCACAATCAATTAAGGTGATTTGCTCTTCGTGCACGACACTCATAGAGACTTTGAGGTAAATGATATAGTTCGGCTAATGATATCAGCCAGACAATTCCCAGTTCTGCAACTGGTCAACTGTAAGACTCATCAATTGCAGCAAACTGCGCGCGCCTCAAAGCAAAAGCCGCACAGCAATCGATTTTTTTGTCCGAAAAATTCCTGGCGGCAAATATTATTTGCCAGCTAGCATACCAATCGGGAAACAATCCATAAAACTGGCCATCAAGTGGGGGGCGCAGGCGGAGCTGTCGACGCGACGATGCTGGACAGGCGCAGCTAATGGTCAACTCCTCTCGATCTCGGCGCCTATGAGACATTTCAGCACGTCTCACACAAATTAGCGCAGCGATTGCAACGCCAATAACAATATCATAAAGAAGGGCGAGCGGGCGGTCGGGCGGTCGGGCGGTCGGGCGGTCGGGTTAGGAGTCTCTATACTGGCTAGAGCGAGATCGCGGACAATAAATCAGCTCAGTTAAGCGAGGCAATTAGATAAAATGGCTGAACGGTTGCTAGGCTCGCATATCAATTGCAATGCATCTCGATCGACTCGCATCGACTCTCAACTCTCGATGTGTCCGATGAAGTTGTTGTCACTGCAATCCATAAGATAAAATAGCCCAAAAGTTAACGATTGCATGTGCATTGGCCCCAACGGCCCCAAAGGCCCCAGCGGCTGCTCCGCCGGACACAATCGAAGACAAACTATCTAATCTAATGTTGTTTTCAAAGGCAATGAGCATTTGTTTGAATAAATAAATGCAGCAGCCGCAACACACCAGCGACAACAACAACAACTGCATCAAACATCGCCCCAGGGCTAGCTCGACTACAGCAATACCTTGTAATTAGCTAAGCCACTGAAAGGGAGCGACTTTTAATTATCCACTCACAAGCAACAAGCGCAGCAGCTCAACTGCAATATCATTGCGAAAATTACAAGCTGCGAGTTGCTGAAGCTAAGAGTTCAACCAATTTGTTTAATATTAGCGACAGTTTAAATAAGAAAATATAAATTATTTTAAATATATATTGAGCTTAGCTACATAAAAATAATAACTCTTTTATACAATCAAATCAAATCAGAAACAAAACTTTTAGTTGCAATAAAATTTATTTGAATTGTTTTGGCTCAAATGAAAAGTGAAAAGGGATCTTCGACTGCAGCAAAGTCGTTTTAATTAGAACTATTATTCTAGATGATTTAAATTGTTAATATTTAATTAAATAAATTTTAATATTTAAATAAAGTTTTCAAATAGTGAAAGTATTCCATATTGTGTTCAGGTCGAGTGATCTACGGAAAATGAAAAACATTAGGAAAATAAAAAATAAAACAAAAAAATGCAAAAAGAGGAATTTCTCCCAAAAGCCCAAAGATGGCAAATAAAGAAAATTTTCTAGCAATATTATTCTATATGCTTTAAATTGTTATGCTACAACTTATGGAGAAAGTCAGTAACTTTTAATATTTTTAAGAAGTTTTCAAATAGTAAAAATATAATAAATATAAAAAAAAAAAAAATTAAAAAAAATAAGCGAAAAATGAGCTTTCTCCCAGAAGCCGAAAAAGGCAAATAGTTTTTAAAGGGAATTTTCTAGAACTGTAGACTTATGACTGCTTATTAAACTCTGGTCTAAGGCATTGTAAGAGTTGCATTTGAGGCTGGCATAAGCCAAGGTATGTTCGCACCTTCAAGAAAGAAGAAACATTCATACCCAATTGGCAAATTGCGCATTTACAGGGCATGCAGCATCGCGTGGCTGACCAAGTGTAAAAATCTCAGCATCTAGAAGTTGGCCAGCTTGTAAATCGCCCACTCGACGCTGACATTTTTTCATAATTTGCGCTACAAGCTTGACAATTGTCGTTTGTTGCCCACTGGGCAATGTTTTTATTATTGTTGTTGTTGTTGTTGCTGTTCTGTTTGCAGCTTGTATGCAACAACAGCGCACTGCATCCGTTTGGCCAAAAGCTCTTCGTATGGCGCGAAACGCGAAGTGTTGGCGCTTTCGCACCTCCAGTTCACAGCTTCAGCGCGCCAACTTTAGCTCGAAGCTCAGCTTCGTTTGCCCTCTCCACTCTCCACTCTCCAGTCTCCCCCTACCCGCACCCCTCTCCCGACTTCTTCACTCCGTTGCATATGCAATGCTAAATTAAAATTTATCCGTTTTATAGCGCTGCGGGCAGCCAATAACTGTTTTAAGCCAGCTCTTTTTGTAGTTTTATTATATAGATATATATATATATATATATATGGCTAGATAGATATGTATCTGTTTTTTTTTAATATTTTCTTGTCGGTTCGGTTTTATTGCCGCTAGTTTATTGGTCAAAAATTTCGTAAGCGCTTAATGCGCAACAATTGCGGTTTTCCATATGGGGCAGAAAGCAGAAGCGTTCGTCCCGACGGAAGTCGTTTGCGGTTCCACGCAGCTGAATTCAATAAGCCAAACAGCTGGCAAACACGCACCAGCCAGAGACACAGATACACAGATACACACACATTTGCAGTGGCTCTCTCTTGGCTATTCTTCAGCATTTTGTCAAACTTGATTAGCCGAAGCCGTAGCTTATGGCCTTATTGTTTACTTGCATATCTAATAAGCCACATTCTTAGTCATAATTATGTTCTCGATAATGATCTCAAACTCTCTCATCTTTCTCTCTCACTCTCTCTTTCTCTTTCTCTTTCTGTTACGATCGATCTATCTCTATCTCTCTCCCTCTGTGTTCTTCTTTTGCAGGCAGAGGGCCCTCCGGTTCAAGTTGAACCAGTTGATTTGAGTCTACGTTCGCCGCGCGGTAAGTTGCTAATTATACACATTCTCATCTTAAAGCTCCGTCTGCAGCTTGTTGTTGTTGCTGTTCTTGGCCACACTGAACATATGTGGTTCCGAGTAATTAATCAATGGACTAGCCATCATCTGCGTAAAATTGGCTTTTCTAAACGGGTCAAGTAGAAATTTCGAAAAGAAACCAATTTGCATCTCGAGTGAAAAGCGATTGGAGGCGGGCTTTTAATTATAACAGTTGCCCACATCGAAGTGGGTGGCAGGTAAAAAATGTGTAATTGATAAGCAGAACAAATGCTATGGCTAAGCCTCAAGCGCTTGGCCTTATACTTCAGATACCTCAATGAAAGTTGAAAGTTGAAAGTTTTCGAGTAAGTTGTGTTGGCTCTTAAGTGTTTCCATTTTACATAATGCTCGAAGGGCTTAAGATACAAATGCTCAGCTTAGACTAGTTAGTTAGCTAGTAAATAATTTAAAACTATTTTCAAGCTGACTCGATATCACAGCCAAATATTTTGTTGCTTGCCAAATTTGCTTGACATTAATATGCCGATAAATCATATTCATATCAGCGACAGAAATTGTATTATTAACGCTATTATTAATAATAAAAATATATGTGTGGCTGGGCAGCTGCATTCTATCAGCTGAAGATCAATTTGCTTTAAGCCCAATATTTGGTAAGCCATGAAAACTAATATTTGGGGCCAGGAAGCTTCCTTGTGCATCTCATTAATTTGACTCTTTATGCCAGGAACTTTCATATGAATTCTGATCCAAAGTTTAGGAAGCTTGTTTTAACACGCTGCGCACACTGAAACTGCGATTCATGATACCTATTATCGTATACTATCTTGAATATAATCTATTTTCGTTGACCGATCAATCAAATCTATTCAAATTTGTTAGCGAATTTGTCGCCGCGTCGAATGTAGATTGGCAGCAGATTAAATTGGCAAACATTTGAATATATTTGATAACTAAATTAGGTTCTTCATGCCAGCGACATTTGTGAAGTGTTTAAGATGGCAACTTTGGTATCCCGATTTGATTGCTGTAGCAAATAGATTAATGGCAGCCAAGTTGATTATATCAAACTATGCAAATTTCAGTTGCATGCAAAAGTGTTTAGACGTTCGTTATAAGATTTATTGCATTCGAAATTAACTAACTTATCCAGTAGCTAAAGTTCCGGTTTCACTTTTATGTTATACGTGTTCCGGGTCTTGCGCTTCGGTGTCAAAGTTCATTCGTTTACGCTGTAAATATATTCAATGGAATTTCGAGACCAAAAGCGAACGAAGTCTTTAACTTTTGGCAACAACTTTTTGGCTTATCTCATCTATATTTAAATATATATATATATATATATATATTATTTGGAAAGTGAAACGCCAAATGCATTTGCTTGAGCATTACACGCAGCTCATTTAGTTAATGAAATAGAAGCGCTTAATTGTTTGTGTATCCATTTTAATATCCATTTAATGTGAGTTCCTCAAGCGGCATGCAACTTGTTGCAAGCGTAGCGTTCGCTCGTAATCAACATGAAAATCACTTGTAGGCCCATAAAAACGGATTCACGCTGATTCCCTCTAAACGTAGCTCCATTTCTAACGCAACGACAATGGGCCGCAGCTGTTGGCTGCCCACTGAGCCAGAACCCAAGCTTGAACCCAAGGCAGTTAAATAGAGGAGGCGCAGCAGAAGGCACAGGCGAAGGGTGGGGGCATACAATCTAGCGCAACTAACAAGCCCATAGAGAGCGTGTGTCGTTGTTGTTGTTGTTGTTGCTGTTTGGTTCTTGTTGGTTTTACCACTTGACCGACCACCAGCTGTTGACCATTTGACCTTTTGGCAGCCTTTCTCTTTGACTAGGCGCATAATGTGACTGTGTTGGTTTGTGGCGTGTGTGTGAAGTTAACAGCAACGCCCCAAAACTGTTGCCCACTGCGTGGTACTTACCCGTTCCGGGTCTCAACTCATCAGCAGCGACATCATCAGTGACTATCTTATGAGATGGATGTTTGCTTCGGTTAGATAGATAGTTATATGTTTGCTGCTGCTGCTGCTGCTGCTGCGAAGCCGTTGGCCGTAGGGTGCCCCAGCGGTACACATAATTTAATTAAGAAGCAGAGCTCGGCTGCCTTAAATGGCTATACAGTAAGATTAACAGCTAAGAGCCAAAACGCGTTGCGTTCATTAGACATCGACTAAAAGAGAAAAATTAAAAAAAAAGAATATATATATAATTCAAAATACAAAATACAAACACAAAATAACAATATATAAAGACTGAGTTCCAGTCGGCAGTTGCGCATATTAATCAATTAGGCATGATATTAGTGAGGGCATCATTAATTTTGTCAATACGCTTGGGCCATCGAGAAGCGCAGAGAGAGGCTCACTCAGTCGCTCGGCTCTTAATGGTTTTTTCTTTGCTTTTATGGCGTGCTACCACAACGCGCGACTTGTCTGCGGATCTGTGGCAAATGTGTTAAATAGCGTTAAAATTTGTAAAACAAACGGCACATAATGGGAGACCCCGGCTTAATTTTTAGTTTAACGGTCATATATATATGTATATCTGTTTATTATTATATATATGTGTGTGTACACTTGGCTATTTGGCTACATAAATTAAAGCTTTTAAATAATTATGCAATTAGGCAGCGGCCACGATAGCCGATAGCCGATAGCCGATAGCCCCAAACTGCGCATGAACTGAATGAAGCAGAAAAAGACAACGAGATGAAAATCATCCAGCGAAGTGGGGAACACGATATACCCTGTACTCGACTATAAAGCTGAGCAGCGATCCCGTCAGCTTGTTAAGGAGTATTGAAGAACATACGAGAGCCGAGATAACTGTTTAATATATCTATCTCTCTTATCTTAATATATCTATCTCTCTTATCTTAATATATCTATCTCTCTTGTCTCTTGGCATTTGCCTAGCTATGTTCGGCTAAGAGCAGTGAAGGTGGAAAGATCGCATCTTTCTGTTATTTACTCAAATAAAATATTTGCAAGAGAGTGAAGATATACTTGAAATGTGGATGCTATTTAAATGATGTATGTTGACTATTCAAGTTTGAAATAAGAGTGGAGTGTCCAAGGAGCTATTCATCAGTTAAACGTAGAGCAGCTTCTTAGCACTTGCTGTGCGCAGGGTATAGCCAAATTCTGCCAAAAAGTGCCAAATAAAAAAGACGGCTGTCTGCCCGGCCGAATGCCCGACAGTCGAGTGCGAATTCCCACCAAGTCTAATTGCAGGCTGGGAAGCGTTGCAGCTAAAGCGAAACAACTACAACTTGATTTATTTAAGCTACCCAAACAGCCCATAAATAAAGCTGTTGAACTAGCCGCACAGCACAGTGCGCTGGATGGGCGAGGGGCAGCAGCTGGTGCAGGCGTTGGTGCCGTACCCCCAGTCTCTCAGCCTGAGACTCTGCGCTGCAGACGGTGCTGTGGTGCTCTTCTGCGCGGCTGGCTCGGCACTTGGGGGCATAGGCTTTCAGGTTAAGTAGATGCGACGACACGCGGGTCGTTGCCAAAGCAAAGGACCCTAAAGACATGGCAGCGGGCAGCGGGCAGCGAGCAGTGGGTTAGCGGGCAACGTGCAACTTGCAACATGGGGCAGCACTCTAGCAAGCAGCAAAGCATTGAATGATATGCAAGTTTTGCTGTTACCGTTGCTGCACTTCATCGATGCGACTGCTGCTGATTTTGGCATCTCGAGCGATAGACAGCATCTCTCTCTCTCTCTCACTTGAAGAGATGGAAAATCTTTCATAACTGCAGGCAGCGGCCGCTCCTTGACTCTGAATGCCACTCGCAGAAAATTCATTTGCTTGGCCCGCACAATGCGAGAGCCGAGATCCGAGAGCCGAGAGCCGCTGCGATTGTTTTTTAATTATGCTCGAGCCGAGCTGTGCGGCTGACACCCAGTCGGAGGCTAGAGCTCGGGACTGGGCACAGGTCCAAGTTCTGTCTGTTTAACATGGCGCGTATGTAGCGCGCTTGTCGCTTGGCTCGTTCGCGTTGACTTGGACTCCAGTTGACTGAGTGACTGCCTTTTTGAGGTTATGTGAAAGGTCAAGTTCGTGATCGCATTCAAACATTTTTGCCAACCACTCATCTTGCTGCGCAGATCGGCGTACCGACTGCTCGCCTGTCTGCCCGCCTTCCTTCCTGTCTGCCTACCAAACGCCTCCAACTCAACCCAGGCCCAAGTGAACCCAGCCTAGTCGTGGACGCGGAGGGGTAAGGCTGGGATTCGAGTGTGAGCCCGACCCAAAGCCCAAAGACGACGTCGTAGAAAAATTGAAGATGAGCGTGCCACCACCACGCCACGATTCTGCCATTGCCACACTGCCTGCCCCGGCTGCCCCACCCAGTCCCCCACCCGCTGCGCCTCTCCATCGCTGCATCGCTGCACCGCTGCCTGCCTTGTCGCACCAAATTGAGTGAATGTAAACTGTGGTTTACTTGTTTCCAGCGTTGTCATAGTAATTTTTCTGCACTATAACAACGGCCAGCGTCGCCTGCAACTGCAACTCCAGCTCCTAGCTCCGGTGGCAGCAGTCACCCGAAAAAAACACAGAAAACAGACAAAAAATGGAGATGCTGATGACACTGGAGACACGTTGTCTCTCTGGCAATCGTGCAACTGACACACCAGCAACAGCAACAGCAACAGCAACAGCATCAGCAGCAACAACGACGAAATGTTATAGCAGCATATGCCACACGAACCAAAAATTACACTGGACAACACAGGGTGCGGCTAAGGTATGCGCAGGGCGGGGAGTGTGCAGCAATCTTAAGTTTTTCTTTTATTTTGGGTGGGGAATCAGTTTCTTCTTCTTCATCGTCTTCTTCTTCTGCTGCATTGCTTTGAGGATGATTTGAATGTCGACTGTTGCCGTTGCACTTTGATTGCGGATTAGCTGCCTACATGCAACATCGTTGGCTCAAGCTTTGCTAGGACAAAAAATTGCATTCGAA